TATAGTATTTTGTAAGTTTCTACCATTTTTGTAAATTGATGTCCCTTTTATGTTATTTGGGGGTGTCAGGAATTACTCCTGGCTCTTCACTCAGACCGTATGGAATGCCCGGGATCGAACCCAGGTCGTTTGCATGCAAGGCGGGCGCCCGGCCTGTAGTGCTGTCTCTCTGGCCCCCGTTTGTGTCTCTTTTAAGGAACGTCTGGTGTTTGGGACTCTCCTTCCCCCGCCCCAACCAATCCCGTTTTGTTGCTTTGCTTCCTTAATTGTTTTCTTTCTTACTAATCTCTTTCGCAGTTTTATGTTCTTTGGACGTCCTGTTTAATTTTTAACTTCTCAAATTAGATGCTTGGCTCGGTCCCTTTGTTTGCTTCCTAGCTCTGGGTCGGATCCAGTGGTGCTCGGGGCTGCTGCTCCCGTCCGAGCACTGACCAGGCCCAGCCCTGCTGAGCTTCCGAGACCAGACGAGATCGGGCGCGTTCGGGGCTGCTTCTGACTCGACGAGGGTTGCCGCCTCGTGGCGTTGGTCGGAGCGGAAGCTCCAGCGGCAGTGCCTGGCCCAGCCCGTGGGCTCCTGCCACTCCCCGTGGCTTATTCCCAGTGTTTTATAATGGCACCCATAGGTCGCTTTTTACTGGAACATTTTATTGGGCATTATGATTTACCGTGTTGTTTCATAATTGAATTTTTATCAGATGAATGTTTTGGAAAAGTGTTTTTGTTTTTAGTTTCTATTAATTTTTAGTTATACTGTGCTCTCTGCTATGTTGTTTTTCCTGCTGTTTTTGCAGTTTGATTTGTGGTCTCCTAACTGATCATTCAAAAAAAGTGTGTGTGTGTGTGTGTGTGTGTGTGTGTGTTGGAGCCACATCTGGCTGTGCTTAGGGCTTCCTCCTGACTCGGCTCACGGACCATCCCTGGTCGTCCTCAGGGGCCTGTGGTGTGGGATGCGGGGAGTCAGATCCAGGTTGGCGGCTGTGCTACCTCTCTGGAGCACATCTCCGTGAGCTTTGACTCGACGACAGAGCTACAAAACAGAGCAGAAATGGACAGAACTACGGAAGGAGGAAGTAGCAACCATCTTAAGATACTTAGCAAGGGTTTAAGAGAGTAAGCAGATACACAAACAAACCAAAGAACAACCACCCCCACCCCACACTCCAGAGCACTGACCCTGGCTTCTGGGAACTCCCTCCTCTGCGTGCTGTGTGGTGACTTGGATCTGTGTGCGTGTGTGTGTGTGTGTGTGTGTGTGTGTGTGTGTGAGTGAGAGAGAGAGAGAGAGCGCGCCTGGGGTCCAGCAGCAGTACAGGGGCGCCTGGGGCTGTCCTCGGCCAGTCTGCTCCTGATACTCAGGTCCGCGATGCGGCACCACTCGGGCGTGCTGGGCGGGAGCCCCTAGGGTCACCCCGGCAGTGCTGGGGCCCCCGGAGTGGGTGGGCTTTGAGCCCATTGTTGGAGGTATATTCCAGCCCTGTGTGCTTTCCCCTTGGTCCTGGGATGCGAATCTTTTTTTTCTTTTTTTCTTTTTCTTTTTCTTTTTTTGCTTTTTGGGTCACACCTGGCGACGCACAGGGGTTGCCTCCTGGCTTTGCCCTCAGGAATTACACCATATGGGATGCTGGGAATTGAACCCGGGTTGGCCGCATGCAAGGCAAACGCCCTCCCGCTGTGCTATCGCTCCATTCCCCCGGGACGCGAATCTGGTTTTCTGGCAGAGCTACCTACCTGGTATAGCTAGATACTTTTCTTTCTCTTTCCTCTTCCTAATGCGCTGAGTCAGATTTTCTCTTTAAAACAATCCTGGCTGCCTCCCTTCCCGTTTCTCTTCCTTCCCTCTCAACATGCGTTTTGAAAGTCACACATTCTCTTTCCTTTCAGTGTTTACACTTTAACATTCTTACGTAACCTGCCGTCTAAAACCAGCCCAGTTCTCCAGAGCAAGACCCTGGAGCCTTTGAATTCTGCCAGCGCTCTGACATGCCCTTGTTCGATCCTTGGGTTCCGCCTTGTTTTATCGGCCCCCGTTAGTCACCGTTACTGCTGTTTTGTACTGTCGGGGCCAGTGAACTTTTACCACGTTCATAGATTTTTTTTTCCTTGCTCAATGTTGTTATGGAGTCCAGGCTTATTCGAGTTCGTGTTATTTTCCTGAAATAAGCCATTCAAGTTCATTCCTCATCTTTGGCATAAGTCTTAGGTTTAAACCCCAAAAGGCTACCCGTGGTCAACACGCCCTTTTTGTTTAAAATGTCTTTTGTTTTTTATTTTGAGCGTCACTTTTGAATGGCAGTTGTGTCTGGCTGTGGAATACCAGGGTGACGGTCTGTGTTAGCCTTCCAAGGTGGCACCCCTTTATTTCTGTGGCTGCTTTCGAGAAGTCTCTCCCACTTGTAAGGAGTCTGGTCTCTCGGTGTAGACCAGTGTTCTTCAATTGCTGGTCTGCTGCCTTAGTTCCCACTCCTGAGCCGAGACAGGTTTGGCCCATAGATTTAGAAAGGGTGATGAATGCTGGTGGAAATCATCTTTTTTTTCCCCTTCCCTGATTGCTTTTTGAAATTTCCCCCCTAATCCCCCTCTGATTTGCAGTGGTGGCGCACCACGGCCAGTCTGCACACCTGCTCTCATCTGAAACCCTGGCCTGGGTCCTGCCGTCGGAGGGCACAGTGACAGCTGTAGGTTGCTCTCTGACCTCATCACCGGCGGCTTCTTTTCGCATGTGCCGTTTGGGACTCGGGCATCTTGGTTTTGAGTCTTAACTCCTTGACTTGGAAAACTTGCAGCCCTCTCTGTGGCTTTGCCTCACGCCCGTTTCCTGCGAGTTAGGATGCGAGTTAGAAAATGTTGGTCTTGGGGCTGGAGCGATAGCACAGCGGGGAGGGCGTTTGCCTTGCACGCGGCCGACCCGGGTTCGATTCCCAGCATCCCATAGGGTCCCCCGAGCACCGCCAGGAGTAATTTCTGTGCATCGCCAGGTGTGACCGAAAAAGAAAAAAAGTGTCGGTCTGAAGGCTCTGTTGCCTCTGCTTCAGCAGTAGGTGTTAGCAGACAGCATGTCCCACGAGGGGCCGGAGCCATAGCACAGCGGGGAGGGCATTTGCCTTGCGCAAGGTCAACCAGGGTTTGATCCCCAGCATCCCATAGGGTCCCCCGAGCACTGCCAGGAGTAAGACCTGAGCAGTGCAGAGCGTGACCCCCAAACAAAAACAATAAACAAAAAGCCAGAATCTGCCTTTGGCATTATGCTAGATGGTGATACTTCGAACTTCTGTCAAAGATGGGCACTCTTGGGGCTGGAGCAGTAGCACAGCTGCTAGGGCATTTGCCTTGCACGCGCCAATCCAGATTCGATCCCTGGTATCCCACATGGTTCCCCTGAGCACCATCGGGAGTGATTCCTGAGTGCAGAGCCAGGAGTAATCCCTGAGCATAGCTGGGTGTGTGACCTGAAAAAGAAAAAAAAAAGTCACATGAAAACGCAATTCTTGCCAGCACTTGGGGGCTCCTTCCAGCTGGTGGTGCAGAGGGGCTGCCGCCGCCGGGCATTGGGGCCCTCGTGGTGCCGGGCATCCACCAGACCCACCAGCAGAGCCTGCCCCGTGCTCCCTGGGCAGGACGATGACCCAGTTTCACTGCTGGGGCACCTCAGTGACAGCCTGTCTCCTGGAGGCGGCTCCCGGGGTTTCGCCTGGCTGTGTTAGGGTGTAGCCCCCGTCTGCTTGGGCCCTTCTGCAGGAAAGGCAGGGCTGGGGCCGGGGGGCGAGGTGGGTCTGCTTGGAGAGGCCCTGTCTGGGCTCCGCACGCTGGCCTCCCCACAGGGGACAGGAGTGCTCCCCGCCCTGCCACAGACTCCGCTCTGCTCCCTGCCCAGGGCCCCCTCCAAACAATCAGGGTCTGTGTCCTGCTGTCCCACGCAGTGTCCTTTGTGAGTTCCCTGACGGGGCGACTCAGGAACACGTTACTTTAGACCGTTGGCCGGTCCCAACGGTTGTTCCAGCCCCAGTGGCGGGTTTTATTTTAACTGAGTGTTCGCTACGTGCCCCGTATCCAGGCCTTTTATGGAGCAGTGTAGTATTTCGCTTCACAGACAAGTTGGAGGCTGTGACTGAGGCCGGGTGCTGTCCAAAGAGCAGGTCCCAGATCTGACCCCAGATCTCGGAGGCTGGAGCTGTGACCTTTGCCCCTGAGCACACGCTGCTTCCTGAAGAGTCCCACAGCCCTGATCCGTCTCGAGATCAGCAAGTCCCATCACAGGGCTTAGTAGCAACAGCAAAATGGGTCCATCGCTGTGGTGCAGAAACACGATTTGCCCCTGCTTCTCGAGCCCTTTGACCCTCAGAGCAGCCACCACTGGCCTGTGGGCAGGACAGGGCAGGGCCTGAGGGTCTGGGCACCACAGCGCTTGTTTTGGCTGCCAGGGCAATTTTCCAGCAAGCTGAGCGACTTTAAGGGTCGGCATGCAGCCAGCCCCCATTTGCTTCCCGGCACCCCATGTGGTCCCCCGAGCCTGCCAGGACGGACCCCTGAGCACAGAGCTGGGAGTGACCCCTGAAACCAAGCAACGATCCTTTCGCTACTGCCGTTTTGTTTGGGGTTTGGGTTGGGTTTCTGGGCCACACCTGGGGGCCCAGGGCTGCTTCCTGCTGTGCACTCAGGAATGGCTCCTGGCTGTGCCCCAGGGGGGGTCGCTGGGTCCCCGTATGTCCGGCCCGTGCCCTGCCTGCTCTAGCAGCCCCCCCCCCCACTTCCTTCTAAGGGGATGGGGACCTGGGTAGTGGATGAGACACAGGCGGGTGTGAATCGGTCTGGCGTCTGGGTGAGAGAAAAGGCCGGGGACTGGACATCAAATTAGCTGTTGGCAGCCAAGTCAGAGGCAAACGTCTCTCAGGTCTTCGGGGTGGGGGTGGAGGTGGACCGAGCAGGCGGAGTGGACCGAGCAGGCAGTCGCGCTGTCGGTGGTGGCGCTGACGGCGGCTGACGGCGGCCTCCTTCTCTTGCAGACCGGTCGGATCGACAAATCCTACCCGACAGTATGTGGCCACACAGGACCCGTCCTCGACATCGACTGGTGCCCGCACAACGACCAGGTCATCGCCAGCGGCTCAGAAGACTGCACGGTCATGGTGAGCTCCCGGGGTGGGGGTGGCGCGCACACAGCCCAGGGACCCTCAGAGCAGATTCCGGCGTCCTCTGACGCAGACCAGGATTCGGCCGTCCTGGAATTGAACGACGCTGAGCCTCTACGATATTTTAACATCAAGACCCTGTGTTGGAACGTCTTCTCGGGTGTTGTCTCTGTTAGTGAATAGCTCTGTGGGGAAAGTTTCGGGAAAAGAAAATGACTTTCCATCGAACCTCGAGCCCACTCCCAAAAAATTGAAGGGAGAGGAAAATCAGGGCGAGTGGTGTGTGGTGAAGTCAGACGGACCGGCTGAACAGACGGTGGGGTGTGGAGGTCGGGAGAGGGCAGGGCGCCCGCCTCCTGTCCAAAGGTGTCTTCTCTTAGGCCCACCCAGGGCAGACACACAGACCCCCTGAAGGAACTGGGGCCGGGGCGGGGCGGGGAGCACACCTGGCAGTGCTGGGGGTGGGGGCAGGGCCGTGCCAGGCAGTCGTGCCGTTGCCCTGTGCGGTCTCTCAGACCCAACCCGAAGTGTTTCTTAGGTGAGTTCTTTCCTTTCCCTTCTTCAGATTCCCAAGGTAGGTTATGTGTGAAGCTGACCCTTGGGGTCCCGTTCTTCCCCGTTTTCTTCCTTTTGTGGTGCTTGCTGGTGATTAAACCCAGGGCCTGCCTCACCCCTGCTGAGTCACCTCCCAGCCCTCTGGTATGTGTAAATGGAAACTTGTTTGAGGTTTTTGTTTTTTTTTTTTTGCCACACCTGATTGTTCTCAGGGCTCCACACTCAGGGATAACTCTCAGCGGTGCTGGGGGACCATGTGGGGTGACGGGATCGAGCCCAGGGGGGCCCTGGCAAGGGAAGCTCCCTGCCCGCTGTCCTTTCTCTGGCCCCTGAGTGGGAAGTGTTTTCTTCTCCTGAGCCAAAAAGTGTTGCTGGCCTGGGTCAGTTTTCACCTCACCCAAATACGCTGTAGTGCTCGGGCAGCCGCTGAGGCGGGGAGGGCCGCGGGGGGCCAAGGTGGCCTGCGCCAAGTGAGGGTCCCCGGGCCGGCGGACGGCTGGTGGCTCCACCCCGCTCTGGGTTGCTCACTTCATTTGCTGTGAACAGAATCAAACTGGGAAGCAGCATGGGTCAGGATCATTCTTCGGTGACAGGCTCAGTCCTTAACTCTGTCATTGAAACTCTCACCCGGTCTTCCTCCTTGGCCCTGGGCGGAGGGTCCCTCCTCCTGTGATCTTCCGACTTGGCACCCAGAGCAGCTCACAGAAATATGCTGCTTTTTTTTTTTTTTTTTTTTTTTTTGCTTTTTGGGTCAGACCCGGCGATGCACTCAGGAGTTACTCCTGGCGGTGCTTGGGGGACCCTATGGGATGCTGGGAATCGAACCCGGGTCGCCCTGTGCAAGCAAACTCCCTCCGTGCTGTGCGATCGCTCCAGCCCTGGGAGACGCTGCTCTTCAAAGCAGGGGTGCCCCGTCATGCGGCCCGTCCAGCCTTCATCGTAAGTGGCCGCAGGCACGCTCTGTGAGGACAAGGACGGCGGTCCACTTAGAGCCCAGCCCGCTGGATCCCACGGCAGAGGCTTCCGAGCTGCGTCCCTTCATCCTCCCGCGCCTGGGCGTCAGCCTCAAGTTGCGTGTAGATACTGACCCTGGTTTTGCTGTCACCTGCCCGCTCAGTGCTTTTCGGAGGCGGCGGAGGAGAGCCCCGGGCTGCAGGGCCCAGAGGCCCGCGGTGTTGGCCTCTATGACGCTGCTGGTCTGGACACTTGGCTCAGGAATGCCTGAAGAGAAATCCTCCTCCTCCTTTTTCAGCCTTGTGGGCGATGTTTCAGTCCCTTAAGCGCCCACTTCCTCCACCGTTTGTTATTGTTGGGGCCGTTATTTAAATGGCTGGAGCCATAGCACAGCAGGTCGGGCGTTTGCCTTGCACGCAGCCGACCGGGGTTCGATTCCTCCATCCCTCTCGGAGAGCCCGGCAAGCTCCCGAGAGAATCCCGCCCGCATGGCAGAGCCTGGCAAGCTCCCCGTGGCGCATTCCATTTGCCAAACACAGTAACCACAAGTCTCACAGTGGAGACGTCACTGGTGCCGGCTCGAGCAAATCGAGGAACAACGGGCGGACCGCGCTGCAGTGCCACAGTGGGGTCCTTAGAAGACACCTTCATGGCACAGCAGTCGAAATGGACGCCTCAGTATTTGCTCTTCTCCTGCATTCCCGCTTAATGCCTTTTCTTGCCTCTTTATGCTCCTGGAGGGAAAAGAAACGTGGCGTGATTAATTCTAGACGTTGCCCCTGCCCGTTCCTCTCCACACCCCGCCCACCCCCTGCTTTGGCTGCCGCAGGGACGCTCCTGGCCGCAAAATTCCCTCTTCTGGCTTTGAAAGAGGAGTGGGGGGATTCCGTGGTTGGGGTCCCTGGCCATTCCCGGCCGCTCGCCAGTGTGCCTTAGACCCCTGGCAGGTCACGTCTTGGTTTTCCCCACCTGAATGTCGCCCCGGCCTCCTGGTTCCTCGAGGCGTGGCCCCTGGGCTGGGTCATCCTGGTGGCTTGTCCCCGAGGTTTCTGGAGGGAGTTGTGCCGTCCTGTCTCTGAAGGCACCCACCTCTCTGGAGTTGGTTCCCATAGCTGTAAAACTACAGCTCTGGGGTAAGGTGGGGCGGGGTGGGGTGGGGGGCAGCCCTTCATCTGGCCCTAGCGAGTTCGTGGTGGGCGGTCAGCGCAGAGACGCGCTGTCTCTGAAGCGCGCTCTGCTCTCCTGTGTTTGAGACGTCAACCCGCAGTCGGTGCTCTCGGAGCCCTGCTGGCTCGGACCCGAGTTCCTCCATCCCCTGCTTGCCTTCTCCCATGCCGGAGCTGCTCTCTCCACACCCAGAGTTGCCCGGGCGCGGAGGCTGCCAGCCACCGGGCTGTTCTTTTCCACGCAGAGCCCCGGCCCGCACTTCCCGCGGGTTCCCAGCGCCGCCTGCCCGTGGGTTTTCCCCGAGTGGTTCGCTGTCTCCTCTGGGAGCCTTCAGCATGGGGGGTGTGGGCCCACCGCCCCCTCCTTCTGAGCAAAACAGAACGTCGCCAGAGAAATGTGTCGTCCAGATAAAAAATCATTTCAGGAACAAGCATTTGCTTAAAAAAAAAAATCCGCTGGGGTGTCTGGCTCTCGTCCCCCTGCCACGCCCCCACACCCGCTGCGGGCCCAGCCGAGGGTCTCCGGTGCCCGCTCCTGTCCCCGCGGTGTCTGCCTTCGTGTGGTCACAGTCCCGGCCTGCGGACCTGCGCGGTGACCAGCGCTGCCCTCTTCACTGGCCGGGGCGTGAACTCGCCCTTTCCACGCTCGATGCGAAGCAGGTGGTGGGTTCACGGCAGGACAAGAGCCGTCCTCAGAGCCCCGCTGTGGTGCGTGGGGGCCGCGGGAGGAGCCAGGAAACTGATCCCAGACGCACGCTGGCCCCTTCTTCCTGCGCGGGGCGTCCCGTGACAGTCGCTCAGGGAGGAGGGGGGCACGGGTCCGGAGCAGAGGGGACGCGGCTGGGGCGGGGGTCAGCCTATCCTGTGGCAGCGTCTCCCCTGGGGCCGGAGCTCCGGGCGTGCAGAAAGCTTCGCACCTTGGGTCCCTTTCATGCCTCAGAGCAAGTGTTGCCCACAGGCTGTCCCTGGTGTCTCACCAGGACCCTGGCGGGGTGGACATGGGATGCCCGGTCACCCCCAGGACCCCACGCATGCCTGCCATGTGCTCTGTCATTTGAGCCACATCCTCGCCCGCCCCTGAGCGTCCCCTGTTCTTTGAGGGGGCTGGTGGGGGGCACACGGGGCTTGGTGCTCAGGGAGCCGTGCGGCGTGAGAGACCAGTTCCCCGGTGCCCGCTGGCAGAGCAGGGCCTGGCCCTTTGAGGCATCTCCCGGCCCCGTGAACCTCCTCCTCTGTGAGCAGGTGACCTGGGAGTGTCCTGCGTCCCCTGGCCAGTGTTCCTTTGGGCACCCGGGCCACGTCCCAGGTAGGCCCCCTAGACGGCACGGCCTGGGTGGCGCTCCTGCTCCTGTTGGTTCTGGGGCTGCCTGGGAGGCCCATGACCCAGAAGGAGCCACAGGCCCACGAGGGCAGAGCCACCTGACGCAGGAGAGGACAGCTCTTCTGGCCCGCCCTGGCCGCCTGCCACCAGTGTGGTCACTCCCTCCCCCCCGTCACTCTCTTCCTCGGCCCGCCCCCAGCCCCTCTGGGCTACCTGCTCTTTGGAGAACCTCCCACCGTGGCCCCGAGCAGGTGGGCCTCAGATCCACCCCAGCGGGGGCCAGGTGATTGTCGCCCCGTTGCAGCGAGGAACAAGTGGCAGGCGAAGGGCCTGCGGGTCACGGGGCTGTGGCAGCAGTGTTCGGACCCGCACTGCCTCGCTGCAGGACCTGTGCTCTGAGCACTGGACTTTGTGGTTATGGGGGAAGGGCCTCACCCCTCCCTCCCTCCTCAGCAGCCCCCGCAGACCCACTGGCCCGTGGGGCCACCGGGCGGGGGTGGTGGGCCGTGGCTGGTCCCCTTGACAGTGGACTTGGCGGGCGCAGGCCCAGCTGTCCGTCCGCCTTCTCTCCTCCTGCCGCCTGGCCGAGGGCCCGCCTTCGAGTGCCCGCTGCAGTAACACGAATCCATGAATGAGTCGCCGGAGGTGGCCAGGCGGGCTCAGCGCCCACAGCAGATGCAGAAGCCCGGCAGAGGATCACTAAATGGGCTGCGAGGAAGGTGAGGGAGGGGCAGAACCCTTCTTCGAGGAGCTTGAACGGGGCGGGGGAGAGAGTTCAGCGGGTGAGGTGTTCGCTCTGAACACGGCCCATCTGGTTCCAGCCGTGGCCCCCACCCGTCCCCCGAGCACCGGCAGGAGCGGTGCCTCGGGAGTAGGCCCTGAGCACCTCCGGGTGTGGGTGGGGCGCGCACACACACTTGGCAACAAGTAGTTTCTGTCCGTCGCCAAAATTTCCCGACAATTCAGTGAGTAGTTTCAGGCCATCACCGAAGTTTCCCGGC